CGGAAAACCTGCCTAACCACAACCGTGAGGCTGTAAGGGTTGCTCATATGTTAAGAAACATATAGGATGTTTATTCGAAAATGGTCCATCCTTCATATTATGCTCCATGAAAATAATATGAAAAATCGAAGAAACTATTGATTTTACTTGTCATTCCTTGCGGTTCAACTTCATACGAGAAGTAAACGTAACTCGTTAAAGTCTGAATAGAAAACGAAGTTAAATGTAATTTACCTGTCCGTATGACAATAATTTTGATTTTTTTGTGTATCAACTAGTTCAGACCATCCTGAATATTCGTTTTTGCAATAAATTTTTTTGTGATCAGAAAATGATCGCTACTGTAGTGACGATAAGTTTTTCGAGAAGAGCATTATATAACAACATTGAAAAGTTAGTGACTGAGCTTTTATTTTTGGAAATATCACCATTAGAACTTGATTTCAGAAAGAAAATTTGACAGGTCATCAAAACCTCACCATCTCTGAAGATACTCGCTATTCTCTTATAGCTCAAGAGCTTCATACCCACATTAATTCACAAAATAATTTAGTATTACAGAAGCAACTATATCTAGTCTAGAATCTTATTCCAAATCATCGTCTGAGAAAACCACATTCAACTCTCTTGGACTGTATCGTTTGTGAGCATCTCACATTGTTGATTGATGATTATAGTCAAACGATATTATTAATCATCTCAAGTGACTCCCAACTCCAAGCATATGTTTTATTCAGTTTTTTTTTAATGAGGAGTTGTAATCAAGAATTGAGAGTACTGGAAAACAACTCAGTATAACACTTCTGGTTTAAATAGTAACCTTGAAAGCCATTACTCTCATTGCAACCAGTCAAGTAATGATTAAATTACGTAAAATAACTAGCAACATATCAAAATAAATGAGTTACAGATGAAAATGATACTATAACGTATCAAGATTGATATGAAGAAACAAGATACATAGCAAAATCAACCAAAAATTACTTTAATGTTAATGGACACATCAATGTCGATGAATAGAATAATACAATTTGAGTGAAGGTAAAACGGCAATACTATTCTCAAAAATGCAATGAGACAAAGGTAAAAACTTTGGCAGCAATTAGATCCATTAGTAAATAATAATAATGATATCATTTATTGATGAAAAGAGAGAGATAAATATTACTGCTAGTTGGTGATGAATGGAAATTCTTCACCAACTAATAACAGTAATTGGATTTTTCATTCGTAATGGTTATTTATTTACGACAAACACATTATTTTGTAGATTTGATATTTTTCTATTTCATTTATTTCATAGATGAGTTCAATAGTTTTGACAAGTTCTATGATGAATAAATTATTATTGTCAAAGGTCAAAACAATAGATCAAAAATGAAGCATTGCCTTATTTCGCTATAATAAAAGTGGTATAATTTCAGTGTTCTTCCTCGAATGCCGAAATCAAAATAACTCAAGATAACTATAAAATAATGCAGTTTTCAGTTTCTAATGCGCTTAATATTTTTCAACTGTAGGTTGTCATGTATTTGAATTTGGTTATAGATTATTCTTTTTATAATCTTTAGAAAAGTGTAAAATAATGGTTATTGATCTCAAACAATTTTGAGTTTGTGAAAGATAATTATTTAGTAGTGACCTGAAACTTCAAAAGTTTACCTATATATGTAAAATTATATATAATTTAAAATCAAATGTTTATGATATAAACAGACTATACGAACTCATGGCGATATTTCAATTGCATTTCGACGTTTTGGTTATTAAAACCTGTATTCCAACTGAATCAAAACGTATCATTATTTCTCTGATATCTAATATTGTCAATTCGTGATTGATCGGATTTGGAATTATGTATTCATCGTTCGTGAGAAATTTCTCCAACAGTCCTGCATATTTTAGGCAAGTTGTAATGTTTACTGTCCAAATGCAGCTGACACTCACAGGTCCTACCACCTGCGACCAAATTTACATTTTTATGTTTCATTTGAACTATTGCATTATTTATAAAGCAAAAAGAGTTGTGTAACGAACGAAAAATGTAGTGCTGGTTCAAAAAATAATAAATGAAGAGACCTTGAAAATGTTTCAATACACTTGAAAGTAACCTTAGAAGAAACTTCCCTGGTAGAGAAGTCATCTTTGAAGATTCTTCTTGTTGTTCAGCCTCAATAATTGAAAATGATGATAAATTCTAGGAGCTAACTTTAATTTTGGGAGCAGCTACAAACATCGTGCCTTTTGTCTTAGTGTGACGTAGGGTTAAGAATGAGGTATTTTTCAAGTTACGAACCCATCACGGTGAATGCTGAATGAGATTTAAGAACATTCAAACTTGAGATTATATAATATATCTGTTGTTGACTTTTCATCCAATCACCATCATCCGTCAATAGGTTAGGTTAGGTTGGGCCCAAAGTGCAGGGCAAGCACAAACTATGTGCTCAGCTGTTTCATCATTTTCCAAATAGAGGCGACCCACACTGTCTTCCGACAGTCCAAGTCTCTGCATATGATGATTCAAATTACAGTGACCTGTAAGACGTTCGTAGTTCATTCCTACTTTAGCCCAACAACTGTTTGGCCAATCCTGGAAAATTTTGCCAGAAGTCCATAAATCTTCTTGCCATCCAGGTGTTCAATGTTTATTTGGCAAAACCTAACGCGAGGCCAATGACAGGTTCTGGTCCCATGAAGCTGCTTGCAGCACCCTCCTTTGCAAGGGGGTCAACAGCCTCATTGCCTTCCAGGCCAGTATGGCCAGGAATCCAGACCAGAGACAATATGTTGAGTCTTCCTATCGAGGAGAGTCGCTTTTGGAAATTTGCTACCAATTTAGACGTTGCTCGGTAGGAGCCAAGAGCTTCCAACGCCGCTTGACTGTCCGAGAATATTTTATTGACTTGTGCATGAGGTTGGATTTTTCCAATCTCTCCACACACAATTCAATAGAATAAATTTCAGCTTGAAATACAGTCTTATAGGTTTCTAGGCAGGTAGATATATCTGTACTGAGTCTGCGATTGAAAACCATTTCTGAATGTGAAATACAACTGATTATCACCAACATTTACATGCGCTTCACATATTCTCAAGGTGGAACTTCATTTTCATTCATAGTGAATAACAAAGACCCAAAAATTGATCATTATTGAATGTCACTTGATATTATCTTTTGCTGGCTGTCCCACTTTTTGTTCTGCATCTATTCTGCAAAAGTTCAAAGGCTCCGGCATAAAAGAGGTGCCAAATGCAAAACTGAAAGCAATATTTAATGATTCATGTTTTCAAATGTTTCAGTATATTTACTAATTTCACAAAAACCCTACAAATGTTTAATTAACTTTGCATATAGTGGTCGTGATTAATATCTTAATTCATAAAAGCTGCGCAAGAATAAATTAATGTATGTAGCCATTACTACGTGGTAGGGGATCATCGTGAAGAATGAGAAATGAAACGGTCCTTAACTTAACTGATTACCTGAATTTTATTTACCTGTGACAATGTGGATACGGTAATCTGAAAACTGGCGTGAAGACCAAGTCTGTTTGGTCATTTAGTAGGTTACATCCGCAATGTTTATGCTTATGAATTTCCAAGGATACCAAATAATTGAGTTTCCAACCCTGACTTGCATAGGGCAAAATCGTTTAGATTCGGGAACTTGTGATTGCATTCCAAGGAATGGTTGGAAACGTCGAATGATTTCTACCTTTTTTTACGAGCAGTTAACCAAAATGAAATAAAAACAATAATAAATCTTTGAAGGCACCAGGAATTGATCTAATAGCGTCTGAAACTGTTAAACACATTTCTGACATAATTGCAGCACCACTAGCTGCAGTAATCAATAAATGCATTCAACAAGGAGTTTTTCCCGCAGTATTTAAAGAAAAAATTGTATTTCGCACATTCAAAAATGGCGACAGAGAAGAATTTATCAACTACAGGCCAATTTCAGTAATAACAAACTTTTCAAAGATTGTCGAAAAAACTCTAAAAGAGCAATTGACTTCATTTCTTCATGAATTTGGAATAATTTCAGAAAAGGGTCACGAAATCATTTGACAGGTCAACGTTCAAAGAGGTATCAGACACATGGTCGTAGGAAGGTGGTCAAGGGAATCAGCGGGATAGTTTTGTTGACCTCGTAATTTGNCAGAGTCGATTTGGTTATTCAGCGGGTTAAATCCGCAGTGCTTATGCTTATGAATGTCAATGATTCCAAATGTTTGAGTTTTCCTTGCTTGCATAGTACAAAATTTTCTTATCGTTTAGAATCGGTATATTGTGGTTGTATCCCAAAGAATGATTTGAAAACGTCAAATCATTTTTACCTAGTTTGAAGGATCTTTCATCTTCAACTCAAGTGTCGTGACACTCAAGCTTATAAACTCCATATGAAGTGGACAAAATCAAGAAATCTGGAGTTTATAAGCTTCAGTTTCCAGAGTGTAATAGTGTTTATTTCCCAAACGGTATGCTGAACATGAGAGATCCTTCAGACTAGGTAAAAATGATTCAACGTTTTCAAACCATTCCTTGGAATGCAACCACAAGTCCCCGAATCTAAATGATACGGAAATATTGCTCTATGCAAACATGGGTTGGAAACTTGATTATTTAGAATCCTTGGCAATGCATAAGCATACGCACTATGGATGTCACCTGCTAAATGACCAAATCGACCTAGTCTATTCGCAGATTAGCGTATACACATTGTATTGTCACATGTAAACAAATTTGGGGTAATCAGTTGAGTTAAGGACCGTCTTGTTATTACCCACAGTGGTGTATAGATATAAAAGGGTCAACATCATCATTCATTTTAGTTTATTGTATTCGTTTGAAAATGTCCTTATAGGACGAAACTGCGGTAACGATGGTTTTAAATGAAAATGGTAGAAAAACACAGGAAGTTTTGTTTCTCTTTTTCAAGCCGTGCAAGAACTTTTGGCAAATAACCTCCACTTAGAATATCATTTTCACTTTTTCAATTTTCACGTATACCAACAAAACTGACGACATAAGACTGAAACTCAATCGTCGAAACTTGAAAAAATGATTCCAATCCGCCGCTGATCATGAACAAAATTCCTATTATACTAATTTTTTTTTTTGTTTTTCGTACTAGGAAAAATAAAATATTTTATATAAATTTATTCCTTTATAACACTCTCATAAAATGCCAAAAAAATTATTTTCAGACCATAACAAAATGCTGAAATGGACCGTAATGGCCAGACGCGACTCCACGTGCAAACCCGAAGATTCCCGCCCTCTGCCGTCCGAATACCCAACTCCTTCGAGGACGTCCACACCACGAACGAAATCGAAGCGTCGGCGATCCAGCACGTCGCGACGCTCGAGCATCCACAAGCGCAACAGTTTGGACGCCTTGGAAGCTGACAAGGAGAATCAATTCACGTCTACTCCCATTAAATCGGATAATTTCTTGCCGTTCGAAGCATTGCGGGACGTGAGCAATTTGACACCTACATTGAAAGAGAAAAGTCGCGACCCAGTAAGTATGCGTGAGAAAAGTAAAAGTTGGCCAAGTGAAAAACTGAATTTTTTTTCTTTCAAAGTGTTTGAATATGGTAATTGTGTTTGGAATTATTTGAATTTCTTCCATTTTGATAATCACAAATACAAATACTATTACTTCGTTGATTTTTTCATTTCACACTATGTTTACGTTTTTTTCATTCGTTTTACTCACTCGTTCAAAAAGTTAAAAGGTGAAATGTCCTTATGTCCTTCCCTCGGATTCCATCATTTTCTTGATGATACAAATGAATTTTCATTTCGTCACCCTTACGTTTTTCCATCATATTCTTTTTATATTTCTTTGTGGTGATTATATAGGTCAATTTGTTTTTCAAATTCTCTCAGGAATCTGTATCTGTAGAGTAAGGAGGGTGAGTGCAAGCCCACAGTACTTAGGCCACATGTGTCCCATTGTACATCCTCCCGAGGAATTGTCCTCCTAGGTCATCGTCCATCCTGTCCTTTCCAGGAAGGTGGACAGGTCACTGGGAGACATATCCTTTATATTGGCAGGTGTAGGCCAAGACTCGCTGAACACACACTCTCTTATTGACGATAACTCCGGACACTCGCACAGAACATGCCTGACACATCCTGCATAGAGGTGTGTCCACCAGCCCCATATTATGGAGGTGTCTCCTTAGTTGACAGTGGCCCGTCAGAAATCCTACTGTTAGGCATATATTTTTCCTGGTCATTGTCAAATATTTCTTCGGTGCCAGCTTCCCAGGACCCAAGGTGATCCTGGCAAGATTACATCCTTTGGTTTCGTCCCATCTCTTTAAGGATTGGGCATGGGTGTAACATTTGACTAGTTCCGCAATTGTCGAAGTCATCAGGCCGTTGGTGCCACTGGGTCCTAAAATTCTTAGTCCAGCGGCTTCCTTGGCTAAAGAGTCGGCAATGCGATTACCTTTACTCCTGTCGTGCCCTTTAACCCACCTCAGGATTATCTACCGAGGCTTTGGCTAAATCTTGGTGACACTCTAATACTAGCCCTGAGGTTATACGTTGTCTGTTCAAGGCTAATAGGGCTTGTCTGCTGTCAATGCAGATTGTTATGTTTTTGCCAGAAATTCCTTTTGGGGAAATTGAGATACCTGCCAGTTCTGTTTGGACCACGCTGGTATTTCTTCCCATTCCCGACTTAATTCTTAGGCTTAGTTATCTGGAGTACACTCCACACCCTGAGCCTTCTTTGGTTTTTGAGTCGTCTATATAAATCCGTATTGCATTTGTATCATCTGACTCTATGTTCTGCTTAATTTGTATTTTGTAGGGTTTATTAAACACAAACCTGGGTTCAATTGCATCGCTTGTTGCCTGCAGCAGTGGTTGCGCAGTAAGCGCTTCCCGCCACAGGCCCAGCCTCAATTGACCCATTCCTACTTCAAGGTTTACACCAGCCGTGCGCAATCGTACTATGGCCATTAACGTAACCTCCTTAACGTACAGATCAAGAGGGGTCAGACCCGTGGTTAATTCCATTGCCGCGGTTGGTGTTGTTCTCATGGCTCCTGTGATGTTCAAACAAGCCAATCGCTGTATTTGGTATAATTTTTGGATGGCCGTTGCTTGTGGAACTTTCGGTCCCCATGCAATGGCTCCATACGTTAACATAGGTCTTATTATTGCAGTGTAGATCCAGGTGACCCCATGCGCGTCTCTCAGGAATTTACAAGTCAGGATTTGGCCTGTGTGTTTTTGTTGGTAATTTTCATTTTGACATTCTCTACTCCAATGATTTATAGATATTCAAACCTCTCCTGATTTTATTGATAATACTAATGAATTTTCATTTCGTTATCTTATGTTTTTTTATCACAATCTTTTTATATTTCTTTGTGGCGATTATATTACTTCATTTTGAGTTTTGTTTTGATAAAGCAGTCATCTCTTGATACTTTCAAAATGATTCATTAGCGGAACATATGGAACGAATTTTCATGATCTACTCGTTCTCAAACAACTTCATAATAGATTTCAGATCTTCAGTAATATTTTCCGAACGAGTTCCCGAAACACAACTTTGAGTATATGAACTTAGATATTAATACTTTCAAGAAATTCTTATTGGAATTTCGGTTTAAGCATTTCATTTTTATCATCTCTTCAGATATTGGTATTTTCATTTCCTATTATATATTTTATTTCTATAATGATCAGATTTGTTCTTTCTCTTTGTCCAGAGAACATAATTTTTGAAATTTTTGTCGACTCCTAGATATTTCTCAAATAATTGAGCATACGTATGATCTTGTTCAATATTTTTTTTGTGCCTTGAACGTACAGCTGATTATTGTTTTGAAATTCCAATTTTTTTATACACTTGATCCAAGTAAATTATGTGATATAACCAGAAGCTGAATAAAATTTCTTGCATGAGTATTATTATTTTCATACTGGTTCGTGCTATATTTTTTCAATATATCATTCAAAATATTCATTTTTTGGTATATTTGTCATCTGGGTCCAAATATATGGATGGAATTGGCCGATACTTGATGTAATTCCATAAAGTATACGATTTCTGTTCAAAAAATAAAGTAAATTTTTAAATTTCGCCTGCTACGTACATTCGTATAACTATTTTTTTATGTTTAGTTTGTTGGTGTGAGGCATAAAAGTTACAAGTACTAGGGATTTTTTCCAATCCTCGAAGCAGTTCTGATAGGTACTTTTTGGTGAATACGTGGCTGAGTCATGATTACAGTGTTGTTTTTGGCCCAAAATTTACGAACAAGCTACGACGTGTGAGAAGGTGCATTATCGTGATGCAAAAGCCATGAATTGTTTTTTCACAGTACCAGTTTCCTTCGTATTGCTTCTCGCAAGCGGCGTGACAGCCGATAGCCAGGCGGCAATTAAGGCGCTCAGCTAATTTCAAGTCTTCTCAAGATTGGTGGGAAGCTGTCTGAGCGCACTCAAGGAGCTGAGTACCCTAAATAGGGTCACTCTAGCTTGGGTACCCTGACATGAGGGACTCAAGGGCAATGAGGAGGTCAACGTTCTAGCCGGTAAAGGCGCATCCAAGGCTATGATTGGCCCCGAACCCTTCTGCGGGGTAGCGAAAGCATGTATAAAGGCATCCATGAATTCATGGATGCAAGCCAAATCGATAGATTGGTGGAATAAGCTCCCAGGAATGAAGCAGGTGAAAGAGTTTATAAAGAAACCATGGCCCAGATTCACGGAAAACCTGCCTAACCACAACCGTGAGGCTGTAAGGGTAGTGGTGGGTCTAATAACGAGGCATAGCTGACTCAAGAAACATATGAGCAACGTGGGTCTGACAGAATAAAACCAATGCAGGTTATGTCTAGAACAGGACGAAACCGCACTGCATGTGATCTATGAATGCCAAGCGATAGCGAGGCTAAAACACGCAAGATGCTGGAAAGAGAAACCAGAGGCTGCCAGCTATATGAAGGGGTCAGTGTCAAGGCTATGGAGTCTCATCAACGAGATCAAGCTAGACAATGAGCTGTAACAACCAAGGAGCATCACAATAGATATGAAAAAGCCGAAGTGAATCAGGCCATGGTTTAGCTCCTCGACAATATAATCTAAGCGGCGCATAACTTCGAGATAATACTCCTTATCGACCGAACGACCATGTGGCAAGAACTCCTGATGCACTACGCCACGGTAATCGAAGAAAACGGATAGTAAAACCTTGAAATTTGATTGAACGTGGCATGCTTTTTTGAATCTTGGCTCTGCTAAGTTTCGATGTCATAATCATATACCTATGATTCGTCGCCAGTTATGCCCCTTTTATCCAAATCTGGATCGCCGTTGACGTCATTTACCAATTCCTGAGCAATGCTCATGCGACGGTTTTTTTAGTTGAAATTCAGCAATTTTGGAACGAACTTTGCTGCCAAACGCTTCATGCTCAAAATTTAGGAAAAAATTTGCATGGCATGAGCCAACCGATATGCCGATATTCACAGCAACTTCTCTAATAGTGATTCAACGATTCTCCATAACAATTTTCTTCATTTTCTCAACATTTTCATCGGTTGTTGATGTGACGGGGCGTCCAGGACGAGCGTCGTCATTCACGTCTGCTCGATCTTCTGTGAAAAGCTTGTACCACTCGCAAATAATTTCATTAACAGAAAATTGCTAAACACGATCAGTATGAACTCGCCTAAGGAAGCTACTACACAGCGAAAAACGTGTTAAGGTTTTGCAAACTGTTTAGCGAAAATCTCACTTATATGGGTCCAAGTGCTTTAGGTCCTACAAATTATCTTCTTCAATTTTCATCAATCTCAGCCTGTAATACTTTTTTTCAATTTTGAGAAAGATGCATTTGCATGTTGTTTTTTCATAAATTGAGAGTACTGGAAAACAACTCAGTATAACACTTCTGGTTTAAATAGTAACCTTGAAAGCCATTACTCTCATTGCAACCAGTCAAGTAATGATTAATTATGGTATCTGTGGGAAAATTATTGGAAAGCTGAAATACTGAAGATATTATAACAGTAATACAACAAGCGCCAAACGTGATGGCGAACCCGCTCCTTTGTGCACAAACTCAATTTCAATATAACCCACTACAGCTCTTGCAAGACATACAAATGCTCTGTACAGAAGCGTATGATTACTTGTCCTCAAATGCTGTTGGCGTTTGGCATTGTCTGAATAATTTGTGTTGTTTCTGAAAAAATGTCGTTTTCTAACAAAAACCAGTCATCAAGAGTCAGGCACGTGAAATAATTTTTAAAGTGTTCCATTATTTTCAAAGTGTTAAATGTGAGTCAGATACGTTATCAAATATGAAAAATAAAACACCTCTTGCTACAGGTAACATTAAATAAATTTGAAAAATAACTATTTCAACACAAATCTTTATTTTTTATTAGGTGTTTCATTAATAACCATTGAATGACTAGTCAGAGAAGGGGAGCAATTAATTTCTGCTAATAACTGAGAAGTCCATTTTCCACCCCAAGAAAGAAGCGGCCTAGAAAATCACCAGTAGGTTGTCGTATTACAGTGAAGAAGTTCCAACACAAAATTAATGACTATTTGGGAATTGTGGCTTCCGAAACATCTCTTCTTAGAATAAAAAAAAAAATATTGGTTTCAAATGGAGAACTGAAAATAATGAAGAAACAGGCAAAATGGACATTACAGCATTGAGGATCAAGTATTTACAAAAAATCAATTATTTTCGTAGTCAACAGCGACCAATTCTGTTTCTTGATGAAACATACCTTCGTAGGGGACATACATCTTCCAATAACTGGACGGATGAATCAACAAAAAGGTTATTTAAAAATATTGCGAAGGGACCAAGACTCACTATTGTCCATGCAGGAGGTGACATGTGCTTTACACATAATTGCCGGATTGTATTCTAATCAGGCACATCTGTGGATTATCATTCAGAAATGATTTCAGAAAATTATGGTAAATGGTTACAAGAAAAGTTAATCCCAAATTTACCTGTAAATTAGCTAATGCCCCATAATGCACGATAATGCCCCATACTATAAGACTTTCTCCTTAACATCCGGATTTGAATTCTTTTGTATTCCTTTGGGCTACTGACGAAAACAACGTATCCCAAAAGATTGTAACTTTCAAGTTGGAAGATATGAGGAAACTGGCGAGAACGCATTTGATCAAATCACTTCCGAGGAATGGTAAAAGCTTTGGCGACATGTAGTAAATATAGATCCGTAATATTTGGGAAATTGAACATTCACAGCCCCTCAAGCAGATTACAAGCTTGAATGACGATAGCAGCACCAGCACCAGTGAAGATGAAGAAAATTTGTATTCATATGTTCATGCATATATGCCCTATATGTCATATTCATGTATAGTGACTGATAAAATTTTATTTTTGGATAAGTGTATCATTAAATAACATTTTTCAATGAACTGTACTACTACCTATAATACTAAATAAAAATGAAAATAAATTACAAAGAAGTCCTGTTCAATTTGCTACCCTAATCAAAACTAATTATAGGTACGACACTGACCCGCAAGGGGCTTATCGTAATCCAATAGTAATTTAGTTGAGAGAGTCTAAACTTGCGCGATCTCTCGCCGTTAGCCGTGGCGTGTATTGTAACTTTCCCTCGTTCATCTACCTAAAGCATGAAGACTGATAATATTTCCCTAGAATACATAATCAACTTGTCTTTCCGATATCTCATATTCCTTTTTGAAATATGTTGAGGATAGAAAATTCTCAACATTATTGGTTTGTCTATTGAACTAGTAATGTTGTTTCATCATAACTGCTCGATGAGTACATTATCAATTGACTCGATGAGTTACTCCAATTTTTTTACTGTTTCTCAATTAACATTATCCATGATATTTTCAATGCTCTGGCACATTTCATTCCAAGTTTTGTTTTTTTCTTTTCAGTATTTGGACAACCATAGGATCATTTCTTCAAAAAAGAGGAAAAGTGAGAAAAAGAATCAAAGGACTCCTTTCGCCACTCCAAAACACACCCAACAGAAGAAAAAAAAACAATGCATAAGTTCACACAGTGACGACTTTTTCCAAGGTGACAGTCAAACAAGTAACTATTTCCGTCCATTCGAAACAGTGGACTCTCACATCGAAGGAATACTGCCCGATGAGGTATACTCATGCAAGAAACCTACCATGTTGTGTGTTAAGAAAAGAGTTCCTGACACCTACGCCCCTACCCTTCCCACTTTTTCTTCAGACTACTCTCCTTGTCCAATGAGAACGACGCATTGTTTGGAAACTTTGAGCCGAAATAGTTCCAAAAAATTACCTCCTCTAGCAAAGCTTCTGGAAGACGAAAATCTCCCACCTAGTAAAAAACCTAAAATTGATCACGTGAGTGACTTTCTGCATCAGATAACTTTCATCACATCTCCTGATACTATCCAACCATGTTTTCCTAACTCACCTGACAAGCAGCTTTTGCAAAGAGATCAAGTCACGCCTCTAGTCAAAAAATTCTTAGGTTTTAAGTTCAATAAGAGTAAGCCCAACCATAACAACAATCATAACAGTTCTTCTTTCATCAATAATATGTCTCTAGACAAAATCGTTGATGCCATTTTAGACTCCACTGACGAAAGCATCAGGCCTACGGTGCGGAGGGCTCTAAATAGCGGCATTAATGAAACTGTAGATTGTGATAATGAGCATAATGAGACTCTTCAGGAAAATATGATGAATTTGGTACAAGAACAGAAAAATGCAATAGAGAATGTTTCTGAAAACTCATCAGATTCTGGCTTCAGGAGTTCCACAACAGAAAACTCACATCAACTGGGTAGTAACTTCGTCTGCAAGTGTAGTACTAAAAAGAAACAGATTTCAGTGGATGATAAAACTATCATCCAGGTGAATGAAACTTTCAACGAGAGGTGTGTGGACAGAGCGCCTGCTACTAGAAAAAGACCGTCTTCGACGATGAGGGATTGTGAAACGGATGTTAAAAAAATAATTCTGGATACCTCTCAACAAGAAAACTTCACACTCAAGAGGCAGAAATGTGTACGTCGCAAAAAACCGTTCAGTATCGAGAAATCAAATTTGCCTTATATTGGAAGCCCTTTTTTGTCGAGTAACACAATTGATTTCGAGAGTACTCCAATTCGAAATTGTTATATGGAAACTAAGGAAATACCTGGATCAACTTTTCGTGTCGAAACTCCAACAGAGATTTCTCAGGGCTTTAGGAGGTGTCTCGTGTTCGATTCTTCCTCTAAGATAAGTGAGTCTTCCAGTTTTTCGGAAAGTCTTTCAACGAATAAAAGTAGTCTTATGGATGTAAGGGGAACAATGGATCTGAAGATTCATAGTGAAGGGAAACATATTTTAGTTGATGGTGAGTAATTTACCTGAGATATATCCATATTGAATACTGATATATCCTGGAGTTTTTTTCCGACCCCAAACCGTTTTTTCAACACCTCGATATGTGTTTCGATCACCAAGTGATCATCTTCAAGAGGAAGATCAAGTTTTTCAGTTTGATCTTCCTATTGAAGATGATCACTTGGTGATCAAGGAAGATCAAGTTTTTTAGTTTGATCTTCCTCTTAAAGATGATCACTTGGTGATCGAAACACGTGTCGAGGTGTTGCAATACTCTTTCAAACGGAGAGTCTGCTAGAAGTACAGTACAGTAGGTACAGAGAATGCGGGTTTAACTCCAAAACGAAGTATTTCTGAATCGGATGTGAATTTGCAAATTATATAGTTTTGTGAGAGTAATTATTTAAAATGCTTTTCGTAGAGGTATCACAAAACACATGAATCTATATCAAAACAAACAAAATCAATATTCAATATTCAAGATATATAATTTTCCAGAATCAGGAAATAACTCATATTTTTGTTTTTTTTCCAGTTGTGCGGTGCAAAGGCCTTTATAGACCGAATGGTGAAAAAATTAACGCCTACGTCAAGGTTAGTAAATTAAAGTTAGCTTATAATTCATCAATCTGTTCAATAATTCAAGCGTGTCAGCGTTTTTAATAGACCTTCTGTTCTGATAATTTGATATCGCAACATCTGGTCAATTGTTTTGATTGTAATATTTCGTATTGAGGGCGCTAAGAGTTTTGTTTCCAATTTCCGGCTTTAAATTTCAGTTATATATGATAATTTTACGTCGGACAATTTCCCCTGCGTTATGATAATGACGTTTCCGGTCCATTACCAGAGCACTAGAACCCACTCTAACTATCTCACGAACAAATAAAACTCTTTGTCATTAGAACTGAATTATGTCTTTATGTATTGAACTAATTTGAAGATAATAAAACACTGGGATACCTAAAGTTAACTAAGGTATCAGAGGTCGGGACATTTTATGTCTTTCAATTAAATTCCAATTATGTTGATGGTCTTAATGGGTCCAATTCAGGCATAGAAATTACATCGTTGAAACTAAAAATACTCTTTTTCATTACAGAAAACGTGCTGGCCTCTTAAAGAATTTAATGTCAAACAGATCTCCTGATTCAAGAATCGGTAATGGATTCTACCACTTTCAAGGTGGCAAAAATTTAATTGAGATGTTGAAAATCTTATTAAAATCTAGTTCACAAAAGCCATTCCGCAAATTGTGCAAAAAGTTCATGATATGTGTCCTCTCCATTGCAATAATCTTGGTAATTACTGTTTTTGGCGATTTATTCTGAAACAATCCCAGCCTCATAAAAATGATTGTAAATTATTTATTAAATGTACTGATTCCAATTACTATTGATTTCAATATCATTTGCAATAGTATTTAGATGCAATGCAATAGAATTACCTATCGGTGCAGTAACATTAGGCTTAGGACGCAGAACCACCTTTAAAATTCAATATCACGAGAGTTTGAATCCATCTTGCTTCAATAATTTCAATAACTTGATGAAAAAAAAAATGGGTAAAAGCACAAATTACTAGCTTCTAGACTGGATCTTCTTCTTTGTTTACTTGTTCTTTGTTTACTTTTCGTTCAGTTCTAGAAAAATCCACCAGGAGTAAACAACACCAAGTCCAGATGGAATTGGTGTTTTACTAAGGTTTGTTAAGGTTAAGGTTGTCCAAGTCCAGATGGTGTTTTATACATACTAAAAGAAATCTGAATAAAAGTGGACTTAGAAGGTCTGGGTTTAGGACATAGTATTCTATACTTCTAGATAAAGTAAAACAGTGAATAAGAAACGTAATAATATATCCGAGACACAGAACTGTAGTGTACAGAAACGCGTGGTTCGTGAATAACAACCATATCCGAGATCAATCTTTTATAGGCGTCCTGTATTCGATATAAACATATTAATGGGTAGCATATGTTTCAAATTAGATCAAAACTCCGAGACCCATCAGTTTACAAGCAAGTTTCAAGTTCGTTGGAGCGTCCTTTTCAAAAAGGATGACAGAAACTGATCGTCAGTCGACAGCAATTACGATTTCGGGAAGCGTATTACCGCGTGCAAGTCGGGCTGGATGCAAGGCGTGCATACAACATGTCACCGATTTTTTGGCCCAAATTCGCTTGTCAGAATTACATACGTCGGTGTTCTAATGAAATAAGATATGTAGACTGACAAGAAGAGATGGATTGTGACTTGTTTTGTCGGAATGCAGGTCCTTAGGTGGAAATATACTGGGTGGCAGTGGTAACCACTTCTTGAAGTTGTGAAATTCATAATTGTCTACTGGTGAAATTAGCTGAAATACGCAGTCAATATAATGTTAAAATATTTCACAAACCTTTTTACACTTACATCATGACATATAGATATTTGATACACCTACTACGTCCCAACATTGAACAGCTCATCCAACAAACAATATTGCTTTGTTCAATGGTACTGTTACGTTGTCCTCGTGGGTTCGAGAGTGATTGTACAATTAAGCTCAACTTCATTTGATTACTACACTGCCAACACAACACAAGGCATTACCTGAACATCAGACTAATACTCGCCTTATTAGCTCACTTCCTACCGCACTTCCAACTAGACTTCCCCATCTGCCTATTGGAAGTGTTTATATATTCTAGTTGAAGTCTGGAAGTCTATATGAATCTTCTCGAAGCGACGCGACACCGAGAATGGTCAAAAAACGCTAGTAGAGTTGAGCTCGAACTTGACCAAGTCAGAGTAAATTGACCAAGACCAGCGACGGTCGATTTTTTTTTTCAGGGGATATATTACAGTATAAATTTTATTGTATAGAACCTTTCACTTCGACGCTGTAAATGTTTTGTTTTCAAACACTTACGAAAAGCATGTGAATATCAGCTCGATAGCAACTTCTAAATATTCTTAAACGAATAGTGTTTAGGAAACAATTTCATTGAAGTCACTATGTATCTAGTACCAGAAGCAATATTTTTGTATTAACAGAAACATTAGTGAATAGCATTTTCAACTAATTCGTAGAGGGGCCCAAAATTATTTTGAAAAATCACTAAATTTCGAATTCAAACTTAGAATTTGATGAAAGTTCTAGTTATTAAACGTACTAACTTCGTCCATAATATTACCTACTAGTTCGATCCCGACCTCGACCAGATATTTTTAGACAATTGAAGTCCGAAGTAATGAAATAGATTCTTTGTCTTATTTAAAGTATTTCATCACTTTTAGGTTTTCAGTGGTGTTTGGATATGCACCCATAATCAAGCGAAAAATTGCCAACTCCCGCCTAACGGTCATCTCCCGAACCGGTTAAGCGAAAAAAGGAAAGCTACTTGTATTTTATTTCACTGTTATGTTATTTCAGGTTTTTTGCTTAATATAATTGTTATTTTCAGCTATTCTTTTTTATTTCTTCTTAGTTCTTTCAGAGATTTCAAATCATTTTAAATAATATCAGACAATTGAAGTCCGAAGTAATGAAATCGATTCTTTGTCTCATTTAAAGTATTTCATCACTTTTCGGTTTTCAATGGTTTGGATATGCACCCAAATTATCCTGATTTTCGTTCATACATTTTATTCACTTATCAATAATGTTCTGAATTGAATGAAGATTTCCTCGTGTATTACTGAGAATTTTCTTTTCTGTCTTCTTTTAAATTTTTCAGCTTACGTTAACTCAATTTTCATCTATTCTTTTTCTAGCATTGGTATGGGAAGCCTTCAACTATTTAATTTGCGTGATATACGATTTTTTTTTAACTATGGAACATCTGCAGTAGGTTTCAAAGTTATGTTGATAATAATATGAGTAACGAATAATATTGTGCCATAATTTTCAGATAACGAACACAATTACTTTTGAAAATGAGATGTATTTTGTTGAAAGAATCTTTAGCGTAATGATACAAATTGTTGAATTATATAAAGTACCAATAGGCCAGAATTTGGTTATTATGAAAACGCCTGAAGAAACAATTGTACAGTACACGTGTTGCGGTTTTGTAAACTATCTTGCAATAAAGTGGTACTTGAATATAAAAAAAACGATGAAGAAACTATTCATAATGTGAGAAAAAAATTGTTAACAAACTTCCTTGCTAGAAAACGCTTGGTAATAATTTTGAACATCTGTTGGAATTAATAAACTGGAATGAGTTTTGAATAAATCTGTTTTCGAATTGTTTACAGATTTTTAAGGCAAATATGAAACTGCCCATTACTCAGAAAAGGCTGATCCAATTTTCAGATATGAAATAGTGTTGGATAGTTAATTAAAATAGCTATCAAACTAACCTACTTTTCCATTGAAAAAAAGTAGGTAGCTGCCTTTGGCAAATAATGGAAAACGTAGATGAAAAAAGAAATATGGGAATAAAGTTGATCGGCAGAAAAGTGAGGGAGTTAAAGATGTTGGTTTTGCTTTCACTCAATATTTTATGGACTATAAAAAATTGTTGTTTCTATCATCAATAGTTGCCTGCATACTCTTGAACCCTTTAGAATCCTTGAATTCTCCGCATATTAACAAAATCACACTAATCAATGCTTATCAAACTCATCTGTTCAATTGTATCATTAATATTCACTAATACAGCAATATTTTCACAAAAAACACATTTGTAATGATACGTAAAATACTTTAATTGTTTGAGATGGAATTGCTTTAATTTTAACATTTTTTTTTTTCTTAGCTTTTGATCACTTCCAACATTATTGAAAGTCAGGTTACTCAGAAATTGTATCTTTTTGCATGTTCACTTTCCAATTTTTATTGAATCGTTGATAAATTCGCGAAGGAACTCCTGAAAAATCACAAAAAAGAGATAACTGGTATATTGTTACAAAAGGTACACGAAACACAATTTAATTATAACGTTGAGGGTCAAATGAGGTTTTTGTGTACAAATATTTCTCATAGTCCATGTACAAAATGTAAACAAGAATATTGAACCAATCAATTCAATTTCTTTATTGGAATTTCTTAGGAATTTTGCCACATTCTTGTTCGATAATGATATTTCGATTTCAATTCAATTTTTTCAAGATTTCAGAAAATAAATCACATGGAAAAATAAGCAAAATTACGTAGAAATGGCCAAATCTGAACGGAAGGTAGTTTATACAAACTACCTTCAATTGCTTCAAAACAAAGTTTTCAAAAATACAGTACGTGTGAATATTCAATGAAGATATGTACATGGCAGTAATGAAGTGATTCCTATTGAATAATTGAAATATTTATGATTAATTCTCATTATCGTTGACTATGACTATTAAAATAACTTTTTAAAAACTAAGCACAACATATATCTGAACTAAATCAACTGTTCAACCTGACTGATAAATACGAATTGTAATTGCAAATTGTTGGATGATCATCAACAAATAATTATTCACTTAGAAAAGTGTTCAGGCTATAGTTGTGTAACATTATTGTGTAACGCATATACTCGATATCTAATGATGTCATGAAGTTCCTTTCAATGAAATTAAACAAAAATTGAGTTTCATATATGTACATTAAATAAATACTTTTATATCATTTTGTCTGGAGAGAATTTATTGTACTAATTATCAAATGTGTTGGCATGATCCTTTGCACAACAAACTGAAACAATGCGTAGTTTGATTTAATTTTTGAGTTATTGCCACAAACTGAAGTTATGACAAAACATAAATAATAACATTAAAATCTACCCATTTTTTTAATAACTGCTAAAACATCAATTATTCTTATTTTTACCCTTCAACTGATGTTGACAAAAATGAAAATTACACGGCTCGATGATTAAAAAAAAATCAATAACCTATTTTTCTCCCAACTTCCACACCCGAAAACACCAATGAAAAAACAACAAACAAATATTTCATGTTTTCGAACATCCGAATCAATATAATATTCCCAAGTGGTTCTTCTGAGATATCATGGAACATCAATAACGATATTTTCCTTTTATTTACAGGTTTCTCTGAGTGATCGATTCTGGAATAGCAGGCGGAAAAGAAATGCTGTGTATCAAAGAACTGCCGTTCAGGGAGACTCGACATGCCCACTCTTCAATCATACCTTTAAACTGGCGGTAATGGAGGAGGATTGCCAAAAAAGAATTCACATCGAGGTTTGGCATCGGGATCGAACATTGAGGTGAGTTTTTTTTACTACGACAATAATTTTTCTTGAAATTATTTTGAATAATGGAGTTTTCCAGCTAATTTTGAATTATTCACTCGATTTGAAAACTTTGAAATCATATAATAATTTTTTGTTAACATGATTGGATAATTCACAAGGGTTTATTTCCCATGATCCAAATGTGCCATAAATATACCTTAATAATTGTAAAGAATTGATATAATGAAGTTGTCAGTTCACTATGACACGATGATGCAGTTATTTTATGAGATTTTATCATAAATAATCTCTCACTTGTCTTTCTGTCTCTGTTTCATGACTCTTTCTTCACACTGTCTGGATTTTACATATGTCTCTTTCCCCCTCTTTCTTGTCTTCAGTTTCCGATCTCTTGTCTCTGTCCCCTGTCTCTATCACGTCACGAATCGCCACCTTCAGACAAAAATAATATTTTTTTCAAAAGTAATGACTTTTTAATAAATTAAGAAGGATCAATTCAAGGATTAATGATCGAGCAGCAATTTTTTACCGCATCCTTACTCTGTCTCCTGATTGTGGCTCCTATCACTTTTTTTTTCATTTCTTTTGTTTCTATTTTATGCTTATTCATTCTCCAGTCTTCTCTTCTTTATCCGTGTTTCTTGTCTACGATTACGTCTCGTGCCCTATCTGTCTCTTGACTCTGTCAAAATATAGTTGATCTTGAAAAAAGATACACGACAAGATTGAATACACGACGATATATCATCATGAAACTAGCTTATGATGAATGAAGATATTACAATTTTGTTAAAAAAATTGTTTTGGAAGTTGCTTATGAAATATCAAACTTGGGTGCTTATGATTTTTGCAATTCTTCTGCTTCATGAACAAAGAAACCCCGCGTCATTTGTAATATGCATTAACAAATTTCTACAAATTGACTGAATAGATGCGAAAATAATTACCAAGGAAGTTTTCGCTTGTCACTAGAGAATTTTTTAGCACGGATTCGTCATTTTTCAGCACTCTAAGATGCCTGTACACTGGTATGGCGATTCATACTTGTAGAAATTGCATGCAAATCTGTTGACCAATATGGCTTACTTGATTTTATTTGAACGTGAATCTTTTCCAAAATAACGTTAGATACAGTTAACAGCGAGATGATGTGAATCGAAATATTATTTTAGGTTAGAAATGAGTATGCATGAATGTTTACTTTGATTTCTCTGAATTACTTTTGTGAAACTATAAAAATAATCTAGAATTATCAACGGTATTTTTCAAAATATATCTGTTCGTCAGTGTATGTGTTGTTTACGTTTGCTTTTCTCTTATCCTTTTGTACTGAATATAGAGGAGGATAATATTGAAATTTCATTGATGAGTTAAACTCAAAAATCTTGAAAGTGTTTTTTTTTGATGATCATCATTTCATATGAAATTTTCAAACTCCTCGAAGTACAGTGCACTTTGACACAATCCTCACGTGGTTTTTTGCAATAACATCATTTATTCGTTATTAACAAGAAAATATGATATTGGCCAGTAATCACCAACTCAATCAATTGAATAATAAGAAACTTCACGGAAACGGAAATCATCATATGAATATATCAACAACTAATTCATATAAATATTTAATTATATGGCAGACCTACAAACTAGTCTCAAAAAATTTAATCAAAATATTAATTTAATTTCTGTAAAACCCAGATGTGGTTTTTAATATTGCTCAAAAATATTTTTTGATGCCATAAATCCCACCATGAGTTTCATTCTGCTGTTTTGAAAATTTTGCAACTATAGCTCATCATTTTTTCTGTATTTTACCAACATTAGTTTTCTCTCAAGTTATCTTTTCACTTTGAGATGAGGGAATTTAAATTTCCAAATTTCAATCATTCTTAGTCAATAATAAATATGGGTTATTAATAATCTAAAGGATAAAACAAACAAAGTTTCAGTTGCCAAACACATATTTTGAGATGGTCAATTTTAAAATTTTGATTACTACAATATCATTGCATAACACGGTAGTATGTTCCTAATTAATGATAGTCGATTCAACATCTTGCTTGAACATCCCAATTCTCCTGAAGCCATAGCAAAACACATTTCAATGGGACTTTGCGCAGAGCTCCTTATCACTGGCGGAACCGACTGGCAAAATTATTATAATAGAAAATGCTGCACAGTTATTGTTAACTCAGTTCGAGTGTATGTCAAATATGAGACTGAAATTGATACAAATATTTTTATTCTGCTATTACTCTAAATATCTAATTGATTCATGTTAATAACCTAACCTATTCAATGTGTTGATCATTTCTCAAGTTGATTACTAAGCATAATAATCTATATTATTAATCACAAAAGATTAATCACAATCACAAAAGATTACTTGAACTGTTCATCCCAATTGTCGAAGGTTGCGTTGTGAATATTCAAACCATTACATGACACCAGACTTCTTGGTGCTTTGAGAGTTCGAAAGCTTATGAACATAAACAAAAATCATATCCTCAACGAATCGCCAATCATTTTTGTGAGTTCTGCATTCTAAAAAATTCAGGTTCTTGTTCGTGCCATTGATTTAGGTGGCATTCTTATGCCGAAAAATAAAAAAAGATCTCGGAAATGGTGGTTTTCGTTTAAGTCTTTGGGTAATACTCGTATCGTTGAACAAATCAGAAATATCTAACTGAAAATGGGAGTATTAATCAAAAGTCCTAAAAGAACTATTCCAGAAGTAAAAACAATATCAGATCCCTTCTAAATCAGCAACTTATGGACAGTCTCATTATTAATGTATGGTATTGCTTCATTCAACCGCTTTGTCGGTATAGTACTCGTAGTCGAATTGAATAGAATAGGCAACGAAAATTCTTTCAGTTTGTTTTGAACTCTTTCAGGAGTGAATGTCACTTCATTCAGTAATTATTCTTACATCTGCAAATAATTTTCATATTCAAAGAAAATAGGTTTCGAATCGAATTTTGAGTAATTCAACTGTACAAAATTGACAAATTTATTTTCTAGAATCTTGATCAGGTTCTTGTTTATGAATTTAACTTGACAGTTTTACTTATTCTCGCGTAGGATGATCGATAGCATAATTTCCTTAGGAAACTCACTGTCACCTTAGGGTCTGGGCAGGTAGTCGTATCGGACAGTTCCTTTGAAACAGAAACAAAGTAGGTCAAATAATTGAATATATCTTCGTAAGTTTCAAGAGGATAACCGTCAACTGTGTCATAAAAAGGTATACCAGGAAAAATATAGACAATATCTGGCCCAGTCTTGGTGGCTTCCAGCAGTGCACCTTCACAAGTACTACCTGACTAGACTCAACATACCAACATTTCGTAGGCTTTCCCAGATAATGTTTTATTGGAAAAATGGCTTATATGAGTCGTCATATGTTGTTTTCCGTCCGTATTCTGTAATTTAAAAGATTTTCTTCGTCATGTATCCTATTTGGGTCTATTCACTTTGAAAGCTTCTCTATAATGTAAGTCGTAGTTCGAGAAAATGCAACTCTCTGTTCAAACATTGGTTTGTATTTGATTGGAGATAAACTGTTGTTGAATTGAAAAAGCTCGTTCAAATCGATAGTTAATTTTGAATGAAGATTACGCGTTTACAATGCAAAATATATTTTAATGTACTAGACACAAGTACAAAACCAGCATAATATTCATGATTTTCATGGTGAACGATTAACCGACTTCATCTCACAGTAACAGTGTATTATGGTGAAACTTTCTTAGGTTTTCCACTTTTTTATACAATGAGGAATAAAAACGTTCAAAGTGAAGATTTGTTATGCAAATTTGTTTCAAATATATACTGGAAAAAGCCCATAGAAACAGTTACTGGAGATTCAAACAACTTTTTAACGTATTCAGGAACAATAATAGTTTTTTAGATATGTAGAGTATATACAGTTTCATACTGTCAAAACTTTTTCAATACCAAAGAATGTTAGTAAGGAAAATATTGCAAAAGGTCAGTATTTATTCACGAAGAGTCATTGCAGGCATTAAAATAACCGACACCATACCTAATTTTATCGAAACAAAAAATACAGCTCATCAGAATAAATTACCTAAGAAGAATAGTTAGAAACTTTAGTTTCGCTTATTTGAATATTAATTTTTTTATGAAGAATGACAAATAAAACTTCCTATGTTCTATTTCATTCTAGAATTCTATGTTTTATTTTTCATTTTCCATTATGATTCCTATCACGTAGTAACGGCTACATCTATCAATATATCATTGATTTTAATTCAGCAATGAGCACATGTCAAATTTTGTCAATTTTGCGACAATATTTCCACACCCCCTTAAAAGGAGCCTAAATGATTATTGTAGGTTTGAGTATCCAATAGGATTTAGATGAATATGTTGATAATTGTTTTATGGATATATTGCCAGCCTAAATTTTTCGTTGATTTGTCACTTTCGTGGCAATAATAATGAATTGAATATGGCAATTTGTCTGCCGTGAGATATTTTGAAAATCTTCAAGCCTTACCGAGGAAATGTTTTACCCATATATCCAATGTCTGAACAAATTGTAATTTTTTTCAATAAATATTCCATTCGAGTCTCTTCATTTGCAGAATACGTAGATTTCATACTTTCGCCTCTGTTCATATATTAATAAATTCGATTCGAAAGCATCCATATTGTGTGTAATAGAAAACAATTTTTTTGAGTTCATAACTTTCCACAAACTGAAGAAATATGTTGTTGAAAAAAATGTTTTAAAATATGTTTTTCCGTTAACCAGCTGTCGCACCCCTACGAACGAGAACCCTCAGAAGTCGAAACTTGTGCGAGCTGAGAACTAACGAGGTCTTACATTTTAACGTGTGATTCCTCACACGGGTTGAACAATAGCAACACAAAATCGAGCATTCAGGTGAGGTTTTGAACCATCGACTCACACATCGGCCGATTGACTGAGTGAACAAAGCACCCACGTCGAACCGCCCGGCTACCGACTGATCGATAAATCG